TCTAAATGTCCTGTATATGTGAGACTACTGTGGATTGATCTCGTGAGTCAAACATACACTGATAAAATTTCCAATTCTATCAAACCAGACATCTTTCAATGCTGTAATGGTTCGGAGCATTTTTTTCAACTAGAAGAGCTTTCTCCTCATGCCATAAGGATGACTTGCCTGCCAATCAACAAAGTTTAATTATATATCAATATAAGTGTCAATGTGAGATCAACTCTGTGGGCAAGACTATCCATAGATCAGAGGTTAGGATCACCCAGCATGTCCTGGGCCAGGTGTGTAGACATGAGTCTGTGACATCTGGGTGTTAGCAGACTCATGACTCCACTATTGGTGAGCACTTATTAAATTCTGTTGCTTGCAGGACAAACTATTCTCCTGAGTTCTTCTGTCTTGTATGGGGCATGGACCAGACTGGAGTTATTATTAATATACAACGTCCTGCCTTATCATATATATTTACGAAAATAAGATCTGCAGTACATAAATTCAGAATCTTAATTTCTGTGGAAAAATACTAAGACATTTTACTCTACTTTTTGGATTAAACTTAAGTCCATGCCACTTTAACTGAAAACACATATGCAACAACAAAATTTTGTGGATTTATCACATTACAAAATTCAAACAAAATTCTATATTTTGCTGATTTGAACAAGAACTCTAGTGTCACAACATCACATGCCCCAAAATAATATAACTGTCAATAAATAGCATATTTTAAAAAACATCTTTTGGTCTGCACTACACATATTTCGCCTTGGTTTTTTGCCTGTAAATGCAAAAAAAATTGCACCCTGAAGATGACAATTCGAAATTGTTGAAAGTACTTGGCTTGTTATTTCCATCTGACAACCACTCAAATATAAGGATTGTAATATTCAAGGAATTGATAGGAAGTTAATGTCTCATTAAGTCTTGTTAGCGAAGTGATTTTGCCGTTAATCTCATTAACATTGCTAATTAATTCTTTGTATAAATTACTTCTTTATGATATAAAAGCTGCACACTCTAATATATATATATATATATATATATATATATATATATATATATATATAAAATGGACTCTTCCATCGGTTTTGACATATGAGGATCTGACAACTTAATTGATTCAGCTAATTTTGTGTAATAATCTTAAGTGGCACTTAAGACCCGCTAGTGATTTACAAAAGAGGTTGCATATGGAGCAAGAGTAAGGATTGTGGGATGAGTTCACTGTTAGTTTGGCTGACCTTTTAGATCTTGTTCTTGCTTCTTGAAGATGATTCAGACAAGCAGATTAAAAACTGCTGAGTCCACTAAAACATATTGATCTCCATTCTACCTGCTCAAAGGCTAAGCACTCAAGGGTATTATGTGGTATATTGACAGCTGACAAATTGCTTTTCAGCTTGTCTTTGTATCTTAGCCATGGGCATCCTACATTCTTGTAGCCCTGATCTAACTGGCTGTACATGAGGATTTTGGGTATACTGTCATCAGACATTCTCAAGACATGGCCAGTACACCGTAAGTGAGACTGGATGAGAAAAGTCTCGATTCCTCCAATATTACACCTGTTGAACAGGTCTACGTTAGATGTCCTATCTTGAAGCTTAACTCCACAGATGGCACACAGAGAGCTTTTATAGAAAACATATAGCTGGCATATATGGTACCTGTATGGAGTCCACAACTCTGAGTCATACAAAAGGATGGCAAGGACAACAGCTCTGTAAACTCGAATTTTTGTATCCAGTTGAATACACTGCTCATTCCACAAGCGATGGCGAAGTTTGCTGAAAGCACTGGCAGCCTTAGCAATCCAATGCATGATTTCATCATCTAAAGTTCCACTGTAATTGACTTTGCTACCAAGATAGGTGAAAGACTTTATATAGTTCGGGGCTTTGTCTTCTACTTTCAATGGTCTCTCTGGAAATTTTAGACTGGTGGTTATTGTTTCTCACAACAGAATTGCTTCAGAGTAGGACAAGGTTGGTGCACAACTTCAGTTTTCTTTATGCTAAGTCTAAGACCAAATGCTTTACATGCAGCAGAGAAATGATTTATTGATGTTGGGTCTCCTCACAGGATGTCGCAACAAGAGCATCATCATCAGCAATAATTTGTGTACAAAGGTGGGTCTTGGCTTTGAAGCACAGATGATTGAAAAGACCACCAGTTGTTCGAAATTGAAACTTGACGCCACTATGTCTGCGAATGCATATTTTAGCATCACTGAGAAGAAAAGGGCAAAAAGGACAGGGGCCATGGCACACCCTTGCTTGGTGCTGTTTGTGACATCAAAGAATTCTGACATATTATCCCATATCATATATATATATATATATATATATATATATATATATATATATATATATGTGTGTATGTATGTATGTAGGATAATGATATATATGAATCTGTTATATATCAACAATTTTTGAGAAAAAAAGTATGACAAACTGGAAAAGGTTTTCATGTGATGTTTTTCTCCTTTAGGACTTCATCAGACAAGTTTATGTTTACTACACATACACATGAATGAAAGATGTTGGTAATTTAAAATTTGTTTTTAATATGTGTTTTGGGTATCAAATGAAGTCCTAAAAGACGAAATATATCACACAAAAACTTTTTCCACTTTCACATACCCCAAAAAGAAATATATATATGTATATATCAGGTCATCCCATAAGTTCTATCCGAATTTTAACTTTTTGTTAAAATGAATGAAATTTAAAGAGTATTTTATAATGTCTAATGGAGCTGAACATTATTTTCATGCTTAGATGCATTTAAACTGATCAAATTTTATTTCAGAGAACAATAAAATTAAATTTTGTTTGATTAAAACCCTGCTAACATGGAAGTACCCAAGAATCATTTGAGGCACATAATGCTTTATGAGTTCAAGAAAGGAAACTCAGCAGCCAAAGCAGCTACAAACATTCACTCAGTTTATGGAGAGGAATGTGTGAATGAAAGAACTTGCAGAAGATGGTTTGCAAAATTCAGAGGTGGAGATTTCACCATTGAAGATGAAGATCGAACCGAACATCCAGTTGAGTTTGATGAAAAGCTTCTTGAAGCAGCCCTTGAAGAAAATCCTGCTTTATCAGTTGAGGAATTGGCAGTGGTTCTCAGTTCAAACCATACAACTGTTCATCGTTCAACAACTTGGAAAAGTTCCTAAACTTGGAAAATGGGTGCCTCATGAATTGTCTGAAAACAACCTCAAATCCTGAGTTGACATCTGCTCTTCTCTCCATTCTCGCCAACTTGTTTCACCTTTTTTGGATAGACTTGTGACTGGCGCCGAAATGTTTTATTGAAATGTTAAGCATTGTAGACAGTGGCTTGGTAAAGGGGAAGGACACCAGCCACAGCCGAGAAGGGAACTTCATGGGCAAAAGGTTCTTCTTTCAATCTGGTGGGATTGCCAAGGAATAATCCACTTTGAATTCTTACCACCTAATGCAACAATTAATGCTCAAATATACTGTCAGCAATTATAGTGTTTGAACCAAGCTTTGAGGAAAAAAAGACCTGCTCTAGTGAATCGAAAAGGGGTGATGTTTTATCAGGACAATGCGCGACACCACACAGCAAGAATTACGTCACAAAAGATCGAAGAACTTGGTTGGGAGAAAATTCCTCATCCACCTTATTCTCCCGATCTTGCTCCTTCAGACTACCATTTGTTTTGTAGCTTACAGAATCATTTGGAAGAAACAGCTTTTGTAACACAGGAAGAGGTTAAAACTGACATTTGTGAGTTCTTCGAATCAAAGCCAAAATAATTTTACAGTAATGGAATTAGTAAGCTTGTTTATAGATGGAAGGAAGTCATAGATAATCAAGGAAAATACATTGTTGATTGAATCTGTAATTAAATGTAACATTTGGTCATTTGTTTTCTTTATTCAAAATTCGGACAGAACTTATGGGATGACCTGATATATATATATATATATATATATATATATTTTAAGGAATATAGTCTTAAGGTGTGCTATATTTATGGGATAAAGTGCTCAATATCAGAGATAGAGCGTGTGTAAATATAAAAGTGAACATAGAAGTCAACACTTAGAGGCGACAGTCTGTTTCAGTATATGTAATCGTCCAGGCCACATATGCTGTTATTTTTCTCGGCTATTTATATATATACGGTTAGTGGGCATTGTGGGTATTCTATTATGGCGGTTATTTTTTACCGAAGTCGCTTTTGTTTATTTATATTGGTCAAATTATATTGCTCGTTTTATTTTTTTTGTTTCTTATTTTATATATTTATTTCTTAACGTAGTAAAAATTGTTTATATCACGTATTTAAGAGTTTTGTTTTGGTTTGAGAATTTAATTCAAGCTATTTGTTCAAAATAAAAACGAGCAATATAATTTGACCCAAATAAATAAACAAAGCGACTTCGGTAAAAAATAACCGCTTATAATAGAATACCCACAATGCACCACTAACTAACCAATATATATATATAAATAGCCGAGAAAAAAAAAACAGCATATGTGGCCTGACGATTGCATATAGTATGAAACAGACTGTCGCCTAAGTGTTGACTTATGTTCACTTTTATATATATATATATATATATATATATATATATATATATCAACCTGTTCATGCAACTTAATAAGATATTCCATTGTTATTATAACTGCAGGAATTACTTGATACCAATAAATGAACAGGCATGTTGCCGGAATTAGTAAGTAGTGAAAACAAGTTAAAAGACATTGCTTTTTTTCTTTTATTTCATGTTATTGATTTAAAAAAGAAAATTCTTTCATACATGTGACAACAGAATTGATTTTATAGACAAAAATCCTAGAGTAATTTAGAAAACAATTGCAAAATTTCTCAATGTTTCCATCATTTACTGATGGCACAAGTTAACTAGTAAATAGGTAAGATGTAGGTAGTTTAATAAGCCTGCCAAAAATATGTTATGTATTGTATGTAAAAAGAATATTAGATAATTACTTACAGGACATAAGATTGCTTTGGCTTTCTGTTCTTGGTGGCTAGACAATAAAGCACTTGCACTTTCCTCAAGTTTACCCAGCATTTTGATTAAATTTATTTGCTGCCTGGAAATAATTAAAATCAAACTAAAAATGAGTCTGTCTAAATTGACTCCATTAAATGTTTTCACACAACATACACATTCTTACAAGCTCTGATCAACAAGTATCAGGACTGGTGCTATAAAAAGAAAACTACAACACATATCAATTCAGTATTTAATCCCCTTCAAAGTAGTTCTCTTCTGAAGCTACACACCTTATCCAGCATCATTTCAACTGATCAAACCATTTCTGGAACTCCATTTTTGGCATAGCAAGCAGCTGCCTCATCGCATTCTCTTGGATTTCCTCAATGTCTTGAAATCTTTCAAGTGCGATTTGATTTTTGAAGAGGAGAAAGTTACAGTTCTGAAATATGATGGTTGTTGGACATGGAAAATGTTGTGTTTGGCCAAAAACTACTGCACAAGACAGAGTCCCTGATGGAAACTCTGTGGTATGGTGAGATGACCACACTCTGCACACTTTCCTTACAAGCACTGCTATAAACAATGGAAGTGAACAATAATGCCATAACTTAGTATGTATGGGCAAGGGGGTTCAAGGTCAATAAATGCTAAACGGCTTCACTCTAAGTACTATATCTCCGTTATTATAGCAACAGTATCAAAACTTTTTGATCAGGACAATCTTACTGTTGTCTGCTTGAGAGAAATTTCTCTGACAAATTTGACAAAAAAAAATACTGAAGAAATTGAAGAGCAATAATTTCTCCCTCTTGCTCGTTTATAAAATATCTAGAAAGAAATTATCAATCTATTTCCAATCAGATATCAATAGTTCAATATCACTGTTTTGATCTCAATAAAAGTTATATATTGCTATTAATAAATTTTATTTGTTATATTCTATCATTTATCAATTTAGATATTTTTCCTCATGAAATGAAAGGTAATATTTTAGCAAAATACATTATTTTTAATTAGAAGAAACTTTGTATTTGAAATCTATAAATTTATCTTTAACATCATGGCTGTCTCATTAAATCTTTTTAATTAAATCTTATGAAGAGTGTAAAAACAGACAATTCTATACTGAAAGACAGTAAAATATAATTAATGTTATTAGGTGTTACTCATAAAAATGAGAGTACAAAGACAAAATAAATTTGGTTTTACTTCTGATGTGTTATTAAAAGTGACTTGACAATAAATTTATTGATAAATAGATTTTGATGTGATAATTCTAAACATTACAGAGGTTTCATCCACTATTTGAAAATACAACAATTATATGAACATATTTGTAAGCTAAATTGGTAGAAAATGAAGAATCAGTTAACATTAATTCGTATACACAAAAAGAATGAGCATTCCCAAACCCAAACAAATAAACTTATATGAGATTTTTTACTAGGGTTTATAGTACTAAAATGATTACAAAATAGTAAGCTTTTAATTTTGAAAGTACATGGAGGTTTAGGGCACATTTGCAGGAGATTTTGAGTGGCTACAAAAAACTGTATGAAACTAAATCAGCAAACATACTGATATATTTCAAGCCTTCTACATGAGTAGTTATGGTCAACATCATGTAGAAAAACATTTTTTTGGACTTGGGATACTAAAAAGAAATTTTCCATGTAAATTAATAGTAATTACTTCTTTGCTTTATACTATTTTAGATAGCAAGAGAAACTTCAATAAATGTAAGGTTTTCATGAAAGCAAAGTAAAAGAGGAATATAAATGAATATAAAAAGAGGATATAAATGTACAGCTCTCATTTCTATCTTACATTTTATCATTTATTATTTTTCTAAGTTATCATTTTCTGTTGATATTTCTAAGCTAATAATATTTTTGTAAAGAATAGTTCTAATAGAGTGTTATACAATCAAAATAAGTTTCTTTTATCAGTAACCAGATCAAAATACTGCACAGAGTAGATTCACTTCTGTAGAAGTTGGACTCAGTATTTTTGGAACTATTTTTGGTAACACTCACATAACCACTGCAATGATTTCTTGCAAATGACAATTATTAGAAATAACCTAAAGGACAAAAACTAGAAACAAGAAAATGGCACTTAACAAATTGATCCAACAAGAAGAGTTCTGAAATATAAACTTTGAGTTTCCCTGTTTGCTTTCAAAATGGCATCTACTTGGTATTTTTAAAATACAACTGTACACTCTCAATGTAATTTATCAAGCGCTTGTCACTGTCCTTATCTGCTCATTGTGCCAACTAGGTTCCATTTATTCAATCACTTAAATTAAAAAATATATCTTTTATAGGCTAAAAAAAGGAAAGTTCTCCCAGTAAAACAGCTAAAGGGATGAAAAGTCTGCAGCATTACCAATTAAGGTGAGTTTTTAAAATTTCTTTATAATGGATGATAGCAACTGCTTTAGTACTAATTCAATGAAATTGATAGGGATTTAAGGAAAAAGTTATTTTTAGGGTTTAGCTCTGCTGCTTAAATAGCATTCAATTGGTCAAGGGATTTATTTCTATTCCTGTAAACAATGGCACATTTGAAGAGCTTCAAGGGAAATGATAGAACAGCTACTGCTACATTAGCTTATTGAATTGGCAGAGACAACACAAAGTGTCCTTAAGAATTGAGTCACACTTGGGCTGCTTAAATAATGACTAAACTACATTTATTATCTATTTCTTAAAAATATTTGATCTATACCAAATCATTCCATCAAAATTCTACATAAAGATATTTATTTAGTAAATATTTTATGACAGACACAGAAAATATTCACTGCATCTCACATTATTAGCCACTTTAATTTTTTTTAGGAAACTAACAAAGGTGTTCATTGAAGTTTTTGTACAATTAACGTGCTGGTTATTTCATATTATATGTATAAATTATAGTACAGGGTGGTCCGAAAGTCTCGTCACCCTAACCCTCTCTTCCAAACTGTAGGAGCTCATGTCAGCCATCTGAAATAGATTATAATATGTACGGGTGACAATACTTTCGGACCACCCTGTAGACTAAACGTTACTCTTATCTGTCAACACTTTTTATGAATTTTACCATATTTTCCAGGTTTCAAACTATTAGCCAAGTTAGAGAAGCAGCAATATGCAATTCAAGATTATTATTACAGAACGTGCAAAATTTACAAAGATTCTTTAACAAAAATTTGAAAACAGTGCCACTGTAATTACAACAAAGATATAAAGACAATATAAATGAGATATAGACTTTGTTTTTTGAAATTAGATTTTAAAGTTGTACATCCATTGATTTTGTCAGGTAATGAATCTCTTCATATGAAACAGGCTATTAGTAAATTCCAATTTGCCAATGTAAGCCTTTCTATTCAAAATGTTCCACAAGTTTTCAATCTAGTTATGTTTGGGCAAACAAGCCAGCCACTTTATCAACCAGTCTATTCAGATATTTTTTTTTTTTACCAAAAGATGGTGTGTCATACATGAAAATCATCATCATTCTAAAAGTGTTTGGCTCCTTGAACTATGTTTCCATGTGAACCTTCAAAATAAAACCTATGTACGTCTCACATATTATTTAACACTATCTTGAAATCACTATAGTCTCACCTCTTTAATACCTATAATCCAGCCCCAAAACTTCAAACCATCACTGCTCTGTAGGCATCTCAACCTGTGAAGGCAGTTTCTGCTAGCAGCTACCCAGGATTTTCTCCGTCCATCTGGACCATCAAGAATAGCATGGTATTTGTCTGTTAGCCATTTCATTTGATTTTCATTATTGATGTCTCTTTAAGGAGGCCTACTGACCATTCTCACCTTTTTTTGACACTTTGACTTAAGGTATCTTGTGCTTTCTGATTTAGTATCTTGTGTTTTTTAATATCTCCTTGCTGTCACTATGTCAAAAAATTTAATTACAATACACAAAGACAAATATTTTAATATCTTGTTTCAACACAAATCGAAAAGTGAAAGTCTTCATCTGCCCTTGTAAGACATGCATCAGTGACATTCAGAATATTCAATGAAGTTCTTTACAGTTGGATGTTGCCTATTTTTTAGCAATTTTCAATGTTGCTTCACTTGTTGCAAGATCTGAAGTTATTCTCTCTGTTCATCAACTCAGCTTTATAACCGACAATATAAGTGTCAAACTTGCAATGTGGCTATCAATCTGAAAGTTTGAAATTCAGGACACTTTAGACAAATGGCTGCCATTTATTTATACTTTTTACTAAATAGTCACATAATACAAGGCCACTCAATGTAGTGAGTTACTGAGTGAGGTTATTGTATTGCTATAAGAGGAGGAAGTAAGTGCAGATCATGAGGGTATATAAGATAGATAATGGTTGACTCTAGACTTGAAGAGGTTAAGATTATAGTGATCAAGGGAAGCATCTGAAGTTTTAGGATCTATAAAAGTAGGCTCATATTCTGAGAAGAGGCAGAGCTAGGTAGTATGCTGTATTGACTGCACAACAGGATTGCATGGATTACCAGGGATGTTTGTGCTATCCAGCATCATTTCAAATTCATTCATCCTTGTTTGTGTTTCCAGTGTCTCAGTTGTGTTCATCCCGTATGTGTCATGTTTTTATGTGGAAGTCTTGTCCGTGTCTTGCTCATTATGATCCAGTGTTTGATTTTGGTGCTGCTGAGTTTTCCATCCCACTTTCTTGGCAGATACACATCCAATAAGAAGAAAATCCCTTCATTTTGTCTGTGATAAAGAGGCTGTAGGGTTGAAAATAATACATCCTCCACAAGTCTGTATAAATGATTATAAATTCTATCAAAACTGGAAAGTGAGGATTGGGCAGTTCCAGCCAAGATATAGCAGCAATTTGCGATTTTTTAAGTCTGTTCTGAATGAAGTGTCTATCACCCTAACTGCAAATACATGTTTTCATCATAAAAAAAAAAAAAAAAAATTCCAATTTATCTTAGATACTTTATATATTTAAGCACAGTACTAAATTGGCAGTTAGGTCTCATCATTTTACAGTTGAAACTGCTAGATGTAATCATAAGTTCTATGCTAATAGTTTCTTCTCTTGCACTTCTTGCTTGTGGGATTCTCTTTTGGTTTCTTGCTTTCCAGTCAACTTTGAGCCTCAAAAATTTAAATACAATGTTAATCATCATTTTCTATCTACTTCAACCCTATTCATTTATTGTCTTTCCTCCTTAATAATAATGAATTTTCACAGATTCTTTCATTTTCAGTAGCTCCTTGCAGCTTAAAAGCTTTATCGCCTTGCTTGGGGTGAAATGATTAGATAAAAAATATATAGTTAAACATGAAGAAGCTAATAATGTGAGGTACAGGGTATATGAAATTGAATAATATATACCAGTTATGTACAATGCATTTGAAATTTTATTTTTTTGTCATATATAACAGTCTCTCTACTCACCTGGGTTTCATAAGTAATACATTATTGGTGACTGAAGAAATATCTTGTTCAGTTAATGCTTCAGACCTTGGAGAGATATGAGCAGGAAATGGCTGCAAGAGAAAATAAAACTTACAAAAAGATAGATCACCAGCAATAAACAATAGTCAAGATATTCAACTGCACATAAACAGTTGATTAAATTCCAAGGAACATAGTCAAGAAATCATCGACAGTGAATCAAAACTTACCATTTAGTCTTTATTGAGGGTTATTCAAATCTAAAACATATTTTAGATTTTAAAAGTAACTTTTTTTTTCGCAAGTGAGTAATGCATTAACAATTTTTTGAGAACAATAATGATTTTTCTAGATGCAAATTTTACTATTTAACCCATAGCTAGCAGAACAACAGGGATTCATACCTTTCCAATGGTACTTGCACATAAGTGAATGTAACAAACCCAACTGAAATTTGAACACAGTTTTTCAATTTCTCATTCCAAACTATGCATTACACTAGCTGCACTTCCTCCAGTTAGTCTTTGATATTGCTTGAAAAAATATTTCTTTTAATTCTTACTATTCTTGAGACTACAAAGCAAAAAAAAACTTAAGTACTTTCTAACCGTATATCTTCTTTTTGTGAGAATCTTTTCAATGATCAACTTGATATCTTGCCAAGAAGCAATAGTTAGATCACAAGAGAAACAGACCATTACAACTGTAATGAGTTGAAAACTTACTACCTACTTACCTACCTCATCAACTGCAGTTGAGATTATAAAGTCATTGTAAACACAATAATCTTTTTCATGGCTGTATAATATGTACTTTGACAGGGCTATATACATTTTTAATTCAGAGCTGTCCTACTAGACTGGTTGTTTAACATGGTTAGAGAGACTAGACTGCTCTGCTATTTAACCTATAACTGGGAAAAGTGATGGATTTGTAACTTTCCCCTGAGTATGTGAAAATAAATGTAACAAACTTGACCAGAATTCAAACTTGGCTCACCAATCTTGTTCAGAACCTCTAACCATTACACCATCTGCACATCAACTTAGTAAGTGCCTTAAAATTGTGACCTTGTGCCAAACTTATTAAACTACTACTTTGCTTAGTCATGAAATATGTGGTTAGCAAAGCATTCTTGTAAACTATTGTTCCCACACTGAATTAAGTGCCCCAGATAAAGTTTAATAAGTAACTGATACATCATGTTATTGAACTAATAATGTAACACCTTCCATGGAGCAATGGTTAACAAAATAACCTAGTGGACCAGTACTACTGTAGTGAATTTGATCCTTACTGAGTGTCCTACCCTTGCAGCATTAATTCAGCCTCAAGTGTGTCAGATAAAAATTGATAACAAGAATGCAATGCTATAGAGCAATGCTAAGTAAGCTGGTCAAGAAAACCAAGAAAATTACAGTCAATGTGCTTGTCCTTCATTTCAATGACAGTGACTTCTTCTATGTGCCATGTCCCTTCAGGACATTGGCAATCATGGCTTTCCACAATTTCCTCCCCTTTGTAGCTCTTAATAAATTATGTCTTTTTGTTATCTCTCATAAACCCTGTTTTACCATCCATTTACATAAACTAGGTAGGATAAGTACTATATTCCACCATTACTCTTGCCTTCAATGTCCTGTAAGTGTCAAATTTTCCAAGCCCACTTTCTTCATTATGTGCCCAAGAAATTTCAACTAACTTTTTCTGATGTTCAGTATAAGTGTCTTTCTTGTGTTCAGTTCACATGTTTAGTCCATGGTATTCTCAGCAGCATCCTGTAGAACCACATTTCTGTTCCTTAAAGTCTCTTCATCTGTAAGGAAATTGCCCAGCATTCACTGCCAAACAGGAGTACTGATATCATGTTATGTTAATGGTTCAGTAGTCTTTTCTTTGTTTCTAACCAAATTTTCTTGTTTCCTAATACTTTGCTTACACACACAAGAAAAAAAAAATAGAAAAACGCATATTAATGAAAAATGTCCTGAATGTGTTTCCCAGGACAACTTGTGACTGAAACTGAGCAAAATGAAGAAAATCAAAAGAAACATGTTGATCTACTGACAAAGCACAAATGTAACACAGAGAAATACATTAAAAGACAACAAATATTTATTGATGTCCTTCGTGAAACTCATGCAGCAGGTTTGTATTGATTAGAAAGAATGAAAAAAAATGCATCTGTGGTTATAACAGTGAGGAGATATCAAGTGGCAAATGGTCAAATATACAAGGTCTGTCCAAAATAGTCGATTGATTGATTTGTTTTTACAGCTTATCAAACCCTTTTGGGTTATCTACAGTCAAAACATACTTCAGATTGTAAGAGGTTACTTATGGTACTTCAGTTCCCAAGCAGTGCCTCATCTAAGTACTGACCAGGCTCAACACTGCTTAACTTTAGTGATTGAATGAGAATTAGTGTTTTCAGTGTGATTTGTCCATAAGCCTAAAATGGTCCAGCCATTTTGTGTATCTAGAGAACAGGTTGTATGATCTTGATGTAACTTACATATCTCTATTTACACAGAAACATAATTCTTATATCTTAGATACAAACCTTAAAAACTACAAATACACATGTTAGACATTTCTAAATGCACATACCTGTCAGGTATTCATCTGCAGATGGCAAATTATCCATTACAACACAGTTCAGGAGACTTTGATGTGTACATACCTGTTCAGTTGTCTGTTGCTGCTTCTGCTGCTGTATATGACTGAACGCTAGGAAGTTGCTTAGTGACTGGTCACTCACCTGGTTATTCTCAGCATCGATGGCCGCAAGTACAGCATCTTTTTCAATAGACTCCATCACCGACAAGCCATCTCAAAAAAGAAAAAAAAAATGCTCATTTTTTTTAAAATTACCATCATGTCCTGAAATGTTCAACAGTTGAATCATAACAGAACACAAATATATTTAAAACCGTATGCAATTAAACAGTTTCAACAGTACAGAGACAATTACAACAGTACAGAAACAGAACACAACACTTACAACCATAGGAAAACAATTACAAAAGTACACAAATGGCACACAACTAAACACTTGCAACCATAAACAGCATGAAACTAAACAATTACAACTGTACACAAACAGCACACAACTAAACACTTGCAACCATAAACAGCATGAAACTAAACACTTACAACTGTACACAAACAGCACACAACTAAACACTTGCAACCATAAACAGCATGAAACTAAACACTTACAACTGTACACAAACACTTACAACAGTAGACAAACAACACACAACTAAACACAGCCATAGACAAAAAATTAAAACAGTATACAAACAGCACACAACTAAACACTTACAACCATAGAAAAACAATTACAACAGTACACAAATGGCATGCAACTAAACACTTACAACCATACAAAAAACTTACAACAGTACACAACTAAACACTTACAACTGTATACAAACAGCACACAACAGTACACAAACAATTAGAATGCAATTGAACAATTATAAAAGCCCACAAACTATTTTGACAGCATGCAATTATACAGCTATAATTGTATACAATTACACAAGTTAAAAGATTAACAAAAAGATATTAAAAAATAGAAAATATTTTATATACTTTTAAATTTTTCTTTTCAAGCTTTCTTGTTAATATTCTTTACCTCAACTGCATATATCTTTTATTTATCTCTATATTTGTCTCTTCCAAAAAGAGTAATGCACTACTTTTTATTTTACCTTTCTAAAAACTTTCAGTGGTTTAATATCTCTCATTATGTCTTGACTGGATATGGAGGATATAATTTTGTGGAGCTGATTTCCCCTCATATTTCTTACCACAACTCCACCAATGATTACATATCTATCATTATATCTCCACACATCACCTTAAATCTTCCCTGAGTGTTGTCCTCCTGTTCTGGCATCAGATGTCGGATGCCATCTTTGTTCATCAAATGAAGCCATAATTATATCTCGTTATACCTTTTCCCAAAGAGGGTGATTTGCTTATTTTTCTATCCAAAGACATTCAGTTCAGCTTATTATCTCTGATTATAGCTTTAGAGTGTTTAGGGGAATCTAATTTTAATCTGCTGGCTGATATCCTCTCTATAATTCCCTATTATCTCTACATATTAGGTAGAATAAGGCTTTCCTCTTCAATATATAAATATTTAAATATACTGAAATTTCAAAATCCAAATACAAGCTGTGTCCCTAATTGATCATTGCATGTTGTAAATATAGGTATTTTAATTTTCGTCAGAGTTCTTCATAAAAAGTAAAGCCATTAACAGATATTTCTGTTATTTGGCATCAAGTCAACGAAATGCAATACCAGAAATTCTTGACATCTGCAGTTAATGGATTAATGAAAAGAATTACTTTCTGAGAAATTCCTGGTAAATCTAGAAGAAATAACTAGAATCAAAAGAGAAAGAAAATTATGATTTTCAGGTTGTTATTATTTGCTGAGATGTCATCACTGGAGACAATGTGATAGCAGGATATGTCAGAATTTTATTTCTAACATGATGGTTAAAACACAGATATTTTCCTTTAGGAAGTGGATGATCATAGCTCTCCACAACTTCCTGTTCTTTGTAGCACTGAACAAGTTTTGTCTATTTGCAATCCTTCCTAGTCCCTTTTATACCAACCATTTACACAAGCTCCTCTTCTACTATACTTGCTTTTAATATGTTCTGTCAAATCCTCCAAACTATCTTTCTTAATGATGTGTCAAAGAAATTACAGTTGTCTCTTTCTTTTTCTAAGTATTAATAGTCCTTTTTGTTTCCATTTCATTTAAATTTCAGTCCATGGTATTTTTAGCATCCTTCTGAAGAACCACATTTCTGCAGCGTTGAATTTATTTTTCATCTGTGAGGAGCGCCTCAGAAAAAAGAAATCCTTAATGAAAACATGACTCAAAAGCTCAGACAGAGTTGTAGAATTTAAACTTCATTATAACTCAAGAAAGTCCAAAAACTCACAATATAACTTTTCAAATACCTGCTACATGTTTTTTCCTTTCAAGACATGGGAAATCATTGCTCTCCACAACTTATCTGTTGTAGATCTTAGTAAGGTTTATCGTTTCACCATACCTCCCAATCCCTGTTCTGCCATCTATTTACACAAGCTTGTTAGGTAAAATCATTAGATAATGAAGAAAAAATATAAATAGGTTTAACTGAAGGACCCTGGAAACAAAAAAACTGCACACACAAGACATCTTTCACAAATAGTAAATACACGAACAGCACAATGTTTTCTAAACATATCTGGGAGATTAAAAACAAAAAACAACTCACACCAAAAATATCATGGAAAATAAAGAAAAGAACATCAGCTTACAACAATCAATCCCAAAACTGCAAACTCTGCTTCGAGGAAAAAATAGATATAATTACCTTCTCAGACCAAAACAAACTACTAAATAAATGATTGGAACTCATCTCAAAATGCAGACACAAAAACAAAGTTTTACTACATTTCTTAAAAATCGAAACCTGAAAAGAATAAATAAAAATAAAATAAAAATAAGATAATCAAAATAAATAAAGTAAATAATAAACAAATTAACAAACCATTCCCAACAAAATAACCGTTAGAATAGACTACCCACAATGCATCAATAACCCATATATATATAGTTAATATATATATATATATATATATATATATATATAGTCAAGAAAAAACACAACGCATGTGGCCTGATGATTGCATTTAGCATGAAACAGTCTGTCGCCTCTGAGTGTTGACTTCAATGTGCACTTATATATATATATATATATATATATATATATATATATATATGAGCTATCTGGAAATGATCCAGCTATTTAAAAATTAAGAAAAAGCAGCCTAATTTCAAAGCACACCTATTTATTTCATAGCATCTGCTCAACTTTTCAAAACTAGATACCTTATGTTCTCCTTAATCTCGTCCACGGACTGAAATCTCCTTCATTCCAATGGTAATTTTAGCTTTGGATAAAGTCAAAAGGAGTCAAATTTGAACTGTTAGAAGACTAACAGAGATATGATGATTTCGTAAAACTACAAACTGCAAATGAGAATGAGCTGTTGAGATATGAAAAAATAAACAGATATTTCCTTGGCAGTTCATGAAATCAGCTGATCTTCTAATTCTTATATTGTCAATCACCAATTTTCTTTGATCACAGCCCACATTCTGCTTGTTGAAAATCATAATTTGAAAGATTTCTGCAGAAAAACTCTCAAGTCTTGTGATGCATATTCACTCCAAGCCCATGATTGTAATCAAACATTTAAGTAAGGCCTTCTCTATAATTATATTCATGGTAATTGGTTTGATGAACATTCTTCTATGGTACCTTATGAATTTAAGTGCCATACAAGATTGACAGCAAGATCTTGTCTTACAGGTGAAATGGCTAGATGTAACCATAAGTTCTATACTAACAGTTTTTTTCTCTCACACTTCTCGTTTCTTGCTTTCCAGTCAAGTTTGATTTTTACAAATTTAAATGCAATATCAATTGGTATCTTCTGTCTTAATTTCTTGTGTTACGGTAACCCAATATTTGTACCCTCACCTCAGATTTTATAAGTATATTTTAAGTACATTGTGTATGTGCAATAAGACATAGGAATATAATAACTTCTTTATTTCTTGAAAAAGCAGATTGTGGGATATGTGTTTTTTTTTTTTTCATCCCCAGTTGAATCAGTGCCACTTCTCGGAAGAGAACCTCTCATTTCCTGTCTGGTTCTTGATCGTAGGCCAGACGAACGCAGTTTGACAAAAAGTGCAGATGACCTCAACGGTAGCCCATGAATGACACCTACCCATTTGTCATAGGCTGGCACGTGACGTTTTGTTTCGCGCCTGTCAGGGTTAACAATTCTTCACTTAGTCGCTTGCTCCTGGACCAGGTGGACGTCACCAGAATCTGTCTTAGCCGTTTGTGAATGGAAGAAGTAGATGTCACCAACACCAAATTTTGCTGTTTGCTGCCCGAAGAAGTAGAGGTCTCTAAACCCAAATTTCGCTGTTTGCTGCCTGGAGAATTAAGAATATCATCACCCCAGTCGGCTATGCTTTTATGATTGACATGTGTATATTAGAACATTGATAATCCCTCCCTTTTATGTTCAGAAAAAGAAACAAAAAAATAAAAAGAGTGTATGAACATCTTTTTTCATTACACTGTATTATTGGGGAAAATCCTGATCAACGTCAATCATCATCCACTGTGAGTGTTGCATATATATATATATATATATATATATATATATATCTTATTGTCTGCTTGCTCTATATTCCTATGATATTTGTCACATAATTATTGTCTAACTGATCATTCATCTCCCCATCCCTTGTGTTATTAAGTTTCATTTCTTTCTTTCTTTCATTCTTATCTTACTGTTGCATCTTGTATATTTGTAAATAAACTATTTCTATTATAAATTCTCGTATTGTCTCCTAGCGTTCTGTGTCCACGCATTGTATATTTCTTGCTGTGTTTACTGGTGTCTGGATTTGGAGAATTCCCCTCCCACTGTTCTTTTTCTTTATTTTTATATTGAACCCTGGGATCTCTTATTTATTTTTTTATATTTTCTCATTGCATATCGGCTATTGTAGTCCTAACGAAAACCCGGACATAACACTAGTCTTTTATTGTTCTCAGTCCTTAATAATTTTTTTCTTATATTCTTTGACACTCAGTAAACCTTTGCTACTGAACCATGTAACATCTATCAGTATTTTTTTTTTTAAATCAGTATCACCCCCAAGCAAAGCAGTACTATCATGCAAGCAGATACAGAGTGTGGAGGAATTAGGAACAGAAA